TATTTTGTCTTATATTACTATTGCTACCCCATCTCTCTTTTGGTGCATTTAAAAAATATTGTGTTTGATCTCCAGTTATTTCAAGGATTTTTGCATATATATTCCAGGGAACATAGATTTTTCAGAATGTAGCTTTCAAAATCAACACTGAGGTTGGAAAGGAAGTGAAGAAGATATCAGATACCAGTATCTTATGCCCCAAATTGGATCATTAGTGCATTTTGAGAAAATGCAGTATTATTCTCAGAAGCCTACTATGCCAAATTCCTTCTAATTTATTTTCTTAATGGTGTGTGCCTGAAAGCTCTCTGTCTTTCATGGTCTCAGAAATAAAATACAACCAGGGTATCTTATGAGAGAGTTTTCTCACTCTGATCAGAAAAATGTTTGCTTCTGTCCCAAACTCTTTGATCTGGTTCTTACTGCCAGCCTTCATTCTTCCATATCTGTTCATTGTACTTATTCTGCCCCAGACATTTTGCTAGAATCTGAGAAGAGAGAGATGAAGGATCCACTCAATGTCTTGGAAACCCCTATAATCTAGACACTTAAATGAATGCAACACAATATGGTGAAGGTTTTGATCGAGGCCAGCCATGGAGACACATGGAATGGACACTTAGGGGCAGAGAGATGGAAGATGTCAGGGAAGACTTCCCGGAGGGGTGATGCCTGAGCTGGGTTTTGAAGTGGGGTGAGCTGGAGGGACCGGGGATTGGAAAACTTGGGAGAGCTGCCCCTTTGAAGGCATGAAAGCCTAGAGGACTTCAGACCTTCACAGAGGGTTCAATGTGTCTGGCACTCAGGAGCTGAGGCAGAGACCATAGGGCATAACAGAGAACAATTAGGCAGGGGTTATTTAGATCACGGCTTTCAAATAACCATCATGGACAGTTCAGTAGGGCCAGCCATTTGGCTCATATGAGCTATTTCCCTTTCTTAAATTTTAAGTTTTTTTTTCTTACCTCTAAAGCAATACATGCATATGGTAGAAAATGAAAAAATATAGATAAACAAGTTGAAGAGAATTGTACCACCTGCAACCCTGCTACAAAACCTTTTTTTAACAACTTATAAATCGTTCCAGGTTTTTATGTACATGTTTTTCTTTAATAAAAAATACTGTTAAACTCTCCTTACTGCTTTGTAACCTGTTCTGTTCAGTTAGTATTTTAGAAACAGTTTTGCCATGTTAATGGACGTTCTTCTGTCTTATTTATGATGTCTGAATAGTAGTATATCTTTAGTCATACCATAATGTGTTAAAACATGCATATATGGGTGTGAATATATTTGAATATTGGACATTTCAATTGTTTTCAATATTTCGCTATTAGAAATAGTGTGTAGGTGAACATTCTTATGCATAACCTTAATTACTTCCCTGAGTCCTTGTCAATAGCTTTATTAAATCTCAATCTTGAAATGATAAATTTGTAAGACGAACATACCCGGAATAATTAGAAAGCAATGCAGAAACAAACATAACCATGTCCCTCTTAATCACCCTTAGCTGTTGCCACACCTAAGGTGGTGACCTCCCTACACCTTGCCTTATAGTAGTCGATCACTCAAATCTACCATGTGAACATGGAATGAAGGTGAATGAAGCAGGCTTCAGTTCAGTTCGACAGACACTGGGGCCTCCACGGGCCAGGGAGGGGATGAGGGAGCACCCAGGCAGCTTAGTCTGGGCAGGAAGGCGTCATCACCTGCAAGAGAGGTATGCCTAAGACTCGGAGGGCGCCGCGAGAAGGACGTGCAGCCTGGTGTGGCAGATTGGGTGGGGGTGGGGGACTTTCTGGAGAAGATGCCACACCTGGGATGATCACCATGTTGGGCTGCTGTGGAGAGAAGTCAAAGAACAGATCACGTAGGGGTTTGGAGGTTGGGTGACCGGTTAAGACAAGCGATATCCAAGATGCTTTCTATATTAGTTTGCATTCTCCAGAGAAAGAGTTCACCCGTCCTTCCCTTTTCTCTTCAGCCCCTCAATGCATTGGATGATGCCAACCCACACTGGTGAGGCTGATCTTTACTCAGCCCACCAATTCAAATGCTAATCTCTTCCAGGAGTACGCTCATAGACACACCTGGAAATAATATTGTTATGGTTTGTTAAATTAACATTTGTTAAGCGGAGCACAGTGCTGGATGGTGAGCCTCAGTGCCACAACTGACCACAAGAGAACTTGAAATAGGGAAGTCTGGGACTCACAGGTCCTGGAGGAAGTACACGGCCTTAAGGGGCCACTTGGGGCGATCAAGGCAGAGCACAGACAAAGAGAGAGGCAGGGCCTAAATACAGGCCTTTATTCAGGTTCCTGGGCTAGGGCCAGGCTGGTCAATTCAAACCAAAAAAACGGATCTTGGTAAGCCCCGGTGGGGGGTGGGTAGTCTATCTAAAGGGCCCATAAGGCATCCAGGTGCTGGAAGGGAGGGGAGCTTGTTGATCACAAGGGCGGATCCGGAGGTCATGTCAGGAACTTAAATTTGCTTGTGACCCTGCAGGCTGCTGACTGGAGCATGCCCTTGCTGGAGAGGCTGGTGTCAGCTGCAGGTCCCTGCAGGCCACTTGGCCAAACAAAATGGATGCTGAGGCAGCAATACCGTGGCGCAGCTTAGCTAGACCCTTGATAAATGTTTTACCAGCTACCTGGGGTGGGGGTGGGGAGGCTTAGCCCAGGCAAGTGGACACATAAAATTAATCATCAATTTCCCAATGCTGCAAATTTATACTTCTCTAAAATAATCAGCTACTTACTAGACACTTTTCCTTGCCTCCAATCCTTTCATCCTCATTGTGTCCCTGCAGAACACTTTCTATTCCTATTTGTACAGAAGTAACAGGCTCCCCCTGGTAATGGATGGGGGAGTTGGGATCCAAACCTAAGTCTCTTCTAATCCAAACGCCAGGTGGTATCACTACATCACTTGGCTGTTCTTCAACTGAATTCCTTAGCAGGTGGTATTCTATACTTTATGGGTTATGCTTTCTTTTTTAGGCCTGCTCCTCCTTCAGGTAGAGAAGGAACAAGCATTCATGGAGACCTTACCATATGCAAACACTGTGTTAGGTGTTCTATGTAAACTATTTATTCCTCATAACATCCCTGTGAGAGACACAAGGAAGTTAGTCTCACCTGCCCAGTTTAGGTAATGTGGTTAAAGACACACAAAAAAAGTAATGGAGCAGGAATCTTATCTGACTTTAAAGACCATGTGTATACTACCATGTGGCCCGGGACATTCATTGCCTCACTAAACCTCCCCTGCACTCTGTCACAGAATCCAAGGTTAGAAGAATGGCCCGTTAGCATAGGCCTTTCTGTTGTATGACTCCTCCTTCAGCTACCTGCAAAACTGACCCAGATTAGGAAGTTCTGGGGTTGTTTTTTCTCCTGCCTGGCCCCTTACACTGTCTATCACCCCATTTGTTCTATAGAAGTGTGTCTGTTAGATTTAGGACATGAGTGTCTGTGGGCCTTTATTGGGCCAAGTTAGGAAAGTGCCCTGGTCTGCCTGACAATGGGGGAGAGAGAGGTCAGGTGGTAGAGGTGAGGAAGATAAAGGTGGGAGATGTCACAAAGCCAGCAGCCCAGCATGACTGAGCCCCAGTTTCTTGAACCACATGGGCAAATGCCACTATTCTTCTGCTTCCCTTTTTATTCTCCATTTCCTTTTTAGCATATGGGTAGCTGCTTCAGGTCATGAAAAAATATATTCAGTGGAATGAAACAGTAGATATTTACCAAGAAACTAAAAATGAAAGTTAGACATAAACTGTTTTATTCCATTGAACTATTTGGCTGAACTCATAAGAACAGTGATGAGATCATTCTTGGACACCTGCACCAAAATGAACCACAAGAAGAATATTTAGGAAAGATGAAGAGGCTATTTGGCGTACTGAGTGAACGAGCTTCTTCAGGCCCAGGGAGTGGGATGAAATTGGCATGATCATTTTGGAGAACATGAGTCAAACAGAGAATTGGAATGGGGTTTTTCAGGGAAGATATATTAGGGGAGTAAAAGGCTGATAAACAGCACTTGTATTTGTAGAAAAATAAGGGGAGTAAATCAAGGAATTCAAAAGTGAAGAGAAACTTAATTCAAGTAAGGGAGGAAAAACCCTGTAAACCTCACTAGTCTTTGTAAGTAAAAGGAAAACAAGTGGAGGTAAGCTATCAGAAGTCAGTAAGATTTTATGGGAGTGTGAAGTTAATCTTAAGGAAGCAAAGCCCGTTTCATTGCTGTAGGAAACTCCCAGCTGAGCGCTGACTAACAATGGACATCTGATCTCCTTGAAGCTGTATTTGGGTGATTCTTGCTCTTGGCTTGTACCTTGCACCCTGGGTCTTGTGGGAAACCAGCGCTGTCCCAGAGTTCCAAAGGGTGAGCCAAGGTTAGGTATTGGAGCTGGTCCTTAATTTACTGTGCTGATTCTTCTTAGGGAAGAATAAAGATTGTGGGAACATGTGTTAGAATTTTAGCTGTGAGGCATGAACACAAAATATTAAATTGACTCCAACAACCTCAGTCAACTGGAAAACTCCCAGTATCTTAGGATAAAAAAAAATATATAATCCTATTTAGAAATTCCTGGTGTGATCATAATGCAGGATTGGTTCTTCTCATGAAGACTATTAATGAAAAATTACATAATCCAAAGTCAATTAAGTAGTAAGATATTATAACAAATTCTTATTTCATTAACTTTTCAAAGTACGAATGATCACTTTGCATTCAAGACAAAAAATTCACATTTTCCACTGGCTACTGAAAAACAATGGAAACAATTCCAGTCATGGTAGCAGCTCTCCGTGGGCTGACCCACCTCTGAAAATAATTTATTGTTTCCAGGTGACTTTTACATTGTGGGGTTATTCATTAGGTTAGGCTTGATGAGAAACAGATACCAATAGAGTTGGGGATTCAAAAATGTATTGTATTTCTTCTTACAATCAGAGATAAATTCACCATGGCTTTTCTCTTTATAGGCTCATGCCAAAATCTGGCATCTCTACAATACTTCTTTCCGTCCAGCTCAGGGAGGCCAAGTATCCATTGCCTTAAGCTCCCACTGGATCAATCCTCGAAGAATGACCGACCATAGCATCAAAGAATGTCAAAAATCTCTTGAGTTTGTACTAGGCTGGTTTGCCAAACCCATATTCATTGATGGTGACTATCCTGAGAGCATGAAGAATAATCTTTCATCTCTTCTGCCTGATTTTACTGAATCTGAGAAAAAGTTCATCAAGGGAACAGCTGACTTTTTTGCTCTTTCTTTTGGACCAACCTTGAGTTTTCAACTATTGGACCCTCACATGAAGTTCCGCCAATTGGAATCTCCCAGCCTGAGGCAACTCCTTTCTTGGATTGACCTTGAATATAACCACCCTCAAATATTTATTGTGGAAAATGGCTGGTTTGTCTCAGGGACCACCAAGAGAGATGACGCCAAATATATGTATTACCTCAAAAAATTCATAATGGAAACCTTAAAAGGTAGGATTGGGGATAAAATTCTAATTTCCTGTCAAAATCCACAGGAAAAACAATCTTTCAGATGATCTGTAATAAACTATGAATTTATAGTTTTTATTGTAATGCAGAAAATCATTTTGGCAATAGCAGGAATGCATTATGTAACACCTTTCTCACTGGGTCTTGAGGAACTTAAATTCATTTTTAAAACTCATTTTGTGGGGCGCCTGGGTGGCTCAGTTGTTAAGCGTCTGCCTTCGGCTCAGGTCATGATCCCAGGTTTCTGGGATCGAGCCCTGCATCTGGCTCCCTGCTCAGCAGGAAGCCTGCTTCTCCCTCTCCCACTCCCCCTGCTTGTGTTCCCTCTCTCACTGTCTCTCTGTCAAATAAATAAATAAAATCCCTCAGAGTTGCTACTCTAGATTTTTAGATTATATTAAGGATTAAGCAAATTCCAGGGTATCTAGATCTCTGTACATGTTTTTGGGTTCTTATTATTTGCACTGAATAAAACAATTTTTAAAGAAAAAAGAATACCAACACTTTCTGAAGAAAATATTGTGTAGTTCATGCTTTTAAAGATTTTAATCCATTTGTTGCCACGGCCACAATGCTAAGATAGAAAATGGAGGAAGACATCTTCTCAGGCCCAATGACCACCTATTGGAAATGAAAATAGTCCAAGTAAAAACATATTGGAGATCATCCTATTTGTGAAGACATTTATTTCTAGAATTATCCTGGTGTGATAGCCTTTTATTAGTAAGAAAGGTCATTGGTTTACCAAACAATGTGCATTATACATAACTTATTTCCATAAGTAGTAAGCCCCTCAAATGTTCTTGAGTCATGAGGCCAGTGCCCAGCTAAGGGTCAGTCATGTTGTTCTTGTCCTTTCTTCTCTTTGTAGCCATTAAGATGGATGGGGTGGACGTCATTGGGTACACGGCGTGGTCCCTTATGGATGGCTTTGAGTGGCACAGAGGCTACAGCATCAGACGTGGACTTTTCTATGTTGACTTTCTAAGCCAGGAGAAGAAACTGTTGCCAAAATCTTCAGCCTTGTTCTACCAAAAGCTGATAGAGAAAAATGGCTTCCCTCCTTTACCTGAAAATCAACCCCTAGAAGGGACATTTCCTTGTGACTTTGCTTGGGGAATTGTTGACAACTACATTCAAGTAAGTCAGCTGACAAAACCAATCAGCAGTGTCACCAAGCCCTATCACTAGTAAGTAGTGCTTCCTTATTAGGTTGTCATGGCACATTGTCCATTCTTCAGGCCAAATGTGGTTCCTGAATGAGCACGTTAAGGGCACAGTTTGGAACATGGCTTCCTTCTCTCCAGAAATCTTCCTAACTTCATCCTACACTTTAAATCAGCCCCAAAGGAGTAACAAATTAAAAATATATGAATATTTAAGATCTGAAAAGATAGTAAAAAGATATAATACTCCCTTTTAATATAGTAGCTTTCAATGCTTTTTAAAGCAGTTGGGTTCTTCCCACAGAAGAACTGCAAATTTTCTGAGATCTCAGTGGAGCTGCTGAGCCTGAGGCAGGAACGTCAGGCAGAGCCCTCCAGAGGCATAGCTGCACCCTGTTGCAGAAGTACCTCGGCAATGAAAACCCTTGCTCCAATGATTCACAGCTCAAAATTTCATTTCTAGAGCTAGTCATTGAAATGGTAAGGGAGTTCTTCAAAATGGTCAACCAATATTTATTGAACACTTACTATTTAGGTAATCCTCAATATTATTTTTAACTTCCCAATCTTAAGGGAATTTGTTTTCTAGAGTTTGATGGAATATTTTAGTAGGCACTTGGATGCTTAGCATACAAAGCCCAAACCAGGTACGCTTGGTTGAGGGGAGTGCACACTGAGATGAGTAAGGTTGACCCCCGCTTTCAAAGAGGTCTGTTGAGAGAAAATGCAGGATACACAAATCATATAATGGAGCGCACAGAGTAGGGTGCTAAGTGAGCAGGGTGGTGGTAGGGTGCTGCTGAACATTGTGAAAATAGAGATCAACACAGAGACAAATGTTGGTATTCATAGACAAGCAATGGCATTGAGCATGCTGGGTGCTTCTAGCCAATTCACTGGTCCTGTAGTAAAGGAAAAATAACTTTCCCTCTACCCTTCTGAGCTGAGATCCCCTATAATTAAAGACAGATTAACAAGAGAAAAACAAATAGAAGTTTATTAACATGTGCAGCTTACATATACATGGGAGATACTCAGAGAAAAATGAGTAACTCCTTGAGGTGACTTAGAATTCAGGCTTAAATACATACCATCTTAATAGAAAAAGCCAGAAGCAGGGGTGGGATATAGGTCTCTTAGGAAAGAATAAGTAATTTTTCAGAAAGATGAATGGACCTTAGAAGAGTAAATGGGAACCACAATAGTTTGTGACAAAGTCTGTCTGGGTATTGTGTTGAACTCTGGTCTCCTGTGACAAGACTCCATCTTTCCTGGGGAATGAAACCCCCCAGGAGGGGACTGGTGACAACTGAGCTCCTTTTGGAGGATCTGTCTTTAGGCAGGTAAGGGGAGTTCAGAGAAAGCCTTTCCCTGCACTTGCTATTTTTTGAGTGCCTGCAGGTCAAAATAATCAGTTTTATACCAGCAGAGCATACTTTGGGGTGACAGGACCTGAACCCCTACAGTCACATTTTGGGGTGGCATATTCTGTTACTCTTCAGTTCAAAAGAAAGTATTTAGAAGAATGCTTAGATCTGAGGAAGTTTCTTTTAGTTGAAATGGGTTGCTGTTTTCTTGTAAGTATCAAATGGAAATCCTTTATTTATAAGGAAATAAATCTACACTATCCTTAATACGTTTTCTGCTGGGTTATATTATTCTTAGGTCTTTTGCAGACCTCACTTGGTTTAAAGGGCAGTCTCATACTTAAATCTCTTCTTACATTTAAAAGGCAACTTCGGGACACCGTTAGCAAAGATGTCCGAGCACAGGAGGAAGATGTCTAGCTCTGCCCTGTTGGGCTTGGGGTTTTCCTCCCTCTTCCTCTCTCTTCTCCCTCAGCCTCTGTTCCCAGAATCTCCCTTCTCTAATTTCTCTCTTGCGAGTGGGATTCACAGTGGGGTTCAAATAGGGTGCTGGTGAGGGGGAAAGGGACGAAGGGAGGGAGATGGGCTCCCCATCCCTCCTTCCTCCCCTGCTGGGGGTGGGTTGGTCCCTGGTCTTTGTTCTCTCTCCTGACCTTCTGCCGGGTGCCACTCCCAGCCGGGCTCTGTGCCCCTTGTCCCTGAGGACTTATCTCTGCCCTGATGTCTCACAGCAGCCCGAGCCTGGGGGGCAGGTAAATTCCCAGTTCAGTTTTACGTGAAGAGAAGTTTCTGCGAGCATCTCTGTGTAAACAGTGTGAACTCGGGGAGTTGTGGGACATTGTGGGGAGCCCCTTCACTCCTGCTGTGGTCCCCATTCTTGGACTGTGTTTGCCTTGAGAACTGGTAAGTAGTGAGAAAGTTTTAAGAGTGCAACCTATTTCCGAGAGAGAGAGAGAGAGAGAGAGCAAAGAGAAACTCTGGTCAGACGTAACAAGTCTGGCAATGACGAGGAAGGGAGACAGGGAGAGGATTGCTTTTTCTTCTCCTTAGGGGCAGTTGTGTTAGAATTTGATCTGATCCCAGCCATGCATCAGCTCTGGATCCTTCCTCTGAGGCTGCACTGCCCTGTTACCTCATCAGTTGGGTGGGGGGAGTCCCTACTCCTTCACCCAGCAGAGCCTGCCGCCCCCCAGTCTCTCCTACACACAACCAGCCACACACAAACTAATTCCCTCTCAAACCCATAGTGGGTGAACTTCTCCAGAAGCTCTCTAGTGGAAAAAGTTTGCAACTGCTGTTTTGTTCTTTCTGCTTTTCCCCTTGAGCCTTGCATTATTTTGGCAGTGCCCTTCCTAAGCTAACTTCCTCCCTGGCAAAGTAAAAACAAGTTTGTTGTAGGGTGGTTCTGAGGAGGGTGTGCGTATGTTTTAATTTACAAGCTGTTCTCTATACTTTTAATACATTATGTTAAAGGCCCGAAAAGTAATTTTTAAACCATTGAAATTCATTTCTTCCCTCCTGGCTAGCATTTCAAACTCCTAATACAAATAAATTCCCAATATTAATCTTAAAAAAACTTTAAAAAGAATATCTCAGTAAGGACATCCCTTGTCTGAAGTCTGATCTCCAGCTTGTTCACATGGACTGTCACTGTCACTGGACCTAATTTCCCAGACGACAGGTGGTTTTCCCATAACCACTAATGCTCATAGTAAACATAGGTCAGAACCTTCTACAGGCTGGGGACACAGAGCTTCTTTAACCTTGGCCACTATCAGGAGAAGGTTTTTTCCATAATATACTAAATACATACTTTATACCCATTGCTTCTGAAAGACTCCACTTGATTTTTCATTTTTTTATTAAGAAAAGTCAACCAATTAATGGAGATTAGATAGAATTATGCCCTAGTACTCATTTCTAAGTGTCCTGTATTTTCAAGAAATAGATATTCCCCCCAGAAATTGTACCTTAGTCTCTCATATTTGTTTGCAGACAGACTGAATAAAAGCTGCTGTTTGGGAAAAAATTGTGGTAGAAAAGTTACAAATTTAGTCAACTCAGAGCTCTATGAAAATAATCCAAAGAATTCCTTCATGCTATGAACACTTTCACTTCAAAAGAGCATGCAAATATTTTCTCTTGCAAAGCTGAGGAAACAAGATTTGTGGGTGCATCATGGTGGAAAAATACTTCTCACAGCATTCCCACAGTACTAGGGGAAATGCATCTGTGGGTGATCTACAAGGGACAAGTCTCCAGAGAAAGCAATTTCCCTCTGACACGCTGGTTTTTTATTACTTTCCTTTATAAACACACTGACACCTCCAAAGGAGCAGCCCCTCAGGCAGGCAAAGTGCAAAGAAACCTCCGCTCGAGACTCCAAACCAGAGTTTGACCCCTGCTTGTATTCCGAGGGTCAAACCCAGGGACCTGTTCTAACAGGATTGTTTCCGATGAGAAAACTGGTTTACTCAGTGGGTCCTTACGATGAACTTTCAGTGTGCCTTTTCCTCCATGGTTAACACATGGAGGGAGCATTTTGTGGTTTCAATTTTACTGCTTTTCCTAAATACCCATTTTCATATTGGAGGCTAATACATCAGATGATTGAAAACCATTGGTGTCATGCTCATCACAGAAAAATAACTCAGGAACATTTTATAACTATGTTCAAATAGCCCAGTCTGTGTAAATGACAATATTGTTCCTCATTTCCACATTCTCTAACACTTTTACCATCAGACTGAATTTAAGTTCTGTCTTTGACATTAACGCCAATAAAAGGCAACAGTTACACGCATCTAGCATGTTCTCTACTCACAGCAAACTTCAAGTTAGAATGTGATTTTTATTTTTTTTTTATTTTTTATTTTTTTAAAGATTTTATTTATTTGACAGAGAGAGAAACAGCGAGAGAGGGAACACAAGCAGGGGAATTGGGAGAGGGAGAGGCAGGCTTCCCGCCGAGCAGAGAGCCCGATGTGGGACTCGATCCCAGGACCCTGGGATCATGACCTGAGCCGAAGGCAGATGGTTAACGACTGAGCCACCCAGGTGCCCTAGAATGTGATTTTTAAGAAGCATGATTTAATTTTAAATATCATTGCATTTTCTGACTCTCACTCAGGTTTTATGCTTTATCTTTTTGTCTATGTTTTTTTTTTTTTTTAAATTTCGGAGTCTCATATTATTAGTGATTTCTTTTTTTTATTATGTTATGTTCGTCCCCATACAGTACATCATTAGTTTTTGATGTAGTGATGCATGATTCATTGTTTGCCTATAACACCCAGTGCTCCATGCAGTATGTGCCCTTCCTTATTAGTGATTTCTTATATTAAAATACAAATGTTCAAAAGTACTTTGCTTGCTTAACACAGGCCAGAGATGTGTGAGAATCATTAATGTTTGTCATCCGAAATGATAAAAAAATCAGATTTTTGTTTTATCTTTTCTTTTTTTAATTATTATTATGTTCAATTAGCCAGCATATAGTACATCATTAGTTTTTGATGTAGTGTTCAACGATTTATTAGTTGCATATAACACCCAGTGCTCATCACCACACGTGCCCTCCTTACCCATCACCCAGCAGATTTTTTTTTTTTTGAACATTAAAGCAACAGTTCGAGAGTTAGGACTATGGGTAAAGCAAATATGCATTAAAAAGCGGAATGTTTTTTTTCTTCATGAGCTTAACGATTGACGAAAAATGGTTTAAATTTCCTGCTAGAAAGCCTCTCTTTTTGCTCCTCTTGCTTGTTAGTTTCGCGGAAGGGATTGCACGGAATTCCTTTTCCAGGGCGGTCACGTGAGACTAACGCCTCCTCCTCTCCTGGCAGGTGGACACCACCCTGTCTCAGTTCACCGACCCGAACGTTTACCTGTGGGATGTCCACCACAGTAAGAGGCTGATTAAGGTGGACGGGGTGGTGACCAAGAAGAGGAAGTCCTATTGCGTGGACTTTGCCGCCATCCGGCCCCAGATAGCCTTACTCCAGGAGATGCACGTTTCGCATTTTCACTTCTCGCTGGACTGGGCCCAGATCCTGCCGCTGGGCAACCAGTCCCAGGTAAATCACACGGTCCTGCGCTACTACCGCTGCGTAGTCAGCGAGCTGGTGCGCGCCAACATCACCCCGGTGGTGGCGCTCTGGCGCCCCGCCGCCCCGCACCACGGCCTGCCGCCACCCCTGGCCAAGCACGGCGCCTGGGAGAACCCCCGCACCGCCCTGGCTTTTGCCGAGTACGCCCGGCTCTGCTTTCAGGATCTCGGCCAAGACGTCAAGTTCTGGATCACGATGGGCGAACCGTACACGCGGAACATGACCTACAGCGCCGGGCACAATCTGCTGAAGGCCCACGCGTTGGCTTGGCGTGTGTACGATGAGAAGTTCAGGGGCTCTCAGAAAGGCAAAATATCCATAGCCCTGCAGGCCGATTGGATAGAACCCGCCTGCCCTTTCTCCCCAAAGGACAAAGAAGTGGCTGAGAGAGTTTTGGAATTTGACATTGGCTGGCTGGCGGAGCCCATTTTCGGCTCTGGGGATTACCCACGTGTGATGAGGGACTGGCTCAACCAAAGAAACAATTTCCTTCTACCGTATTTCACGGAGGAAGAAAAAAAGCTAATCCGGGGCTCTTTTGACTTTCTGGCTTTAAGCCATTACACCACCATCCTTGTCGACTGGGAAAAAGAAGATCCAATGAAATACAATGATTACCTGGAAGTGCAGGAAATGACCGACATCACCTGGCTCAACTCTCCGGGACAGGTGGCCGTGGTGCCGTGGGGCTTGCGCAAAGTTCTCAACTGGCTGAAGTTGAAGTACGGAGACCTGCCCATGTATATAATATCCAACGGCATAGACGATGATCCGCTCGCAGCCCAAGACAGGTTGAGGGTATATTACATGCAGAATTATGTCAATGAAGCTCTGAAAGGTAAGGAGCCCTGGAAACAGCAGTCCCTTGAAGCCTCTGGCCCCCTAAGTCATGATACCCGATAGGCACTCAAACATATACATCCACTGTCGCTCTCGGAGGAAAGTTCCTCCGTTCCCTCCCACGCTGAACAAGTCCAAGAGAGACCTAGTATTTTACCCCAGGGATAATGGAGTTTAGCTAAAAGTGGGAGACTCTAGCAAAAGAGTGGAAAATTCCCTAGCACCTGCTCAGGGTCTGTAAAAGCATGGACTCTCTTGTCCCCCATCTCAGATGGGTTCACAGCACTCTTGCTTCCTTCATGTGCATAAAGATTTAACCCAAGTACATCATAGGAGATTTAATTATGTAAAACCTACTATGTTAAATGTAGCTCAATATTTATCCTCTCATGAAAGAAGCCGTTTATGGTTAAACCTAATTTAGTTTTATTAAATGGTATTGAAATTTTCCCTGATGCACTCCCTAATGCTGTGTAAAAGTGATTTGTTGTGTACAAAAAATTTTAATAGCCATTCTGTCCTTTTGTTTTTCTAGCTTACATACTGGATGGTATCAATGTTTGCGGATACTTTGCTTATTCGTTTAATGATCGCACAGCTCCGAAGTTTGGCCTCTATCATTATGCTGCAAATCAGTTTGAGCCCAAACCGTCCATGAAACATTACAGGAAAATTATTGACAACAATGGCTTCCCCGGTCCCGAGACTCTGGGAAGATTGTGTCCAGAGGAATTCACCCTGTGTACCGAATGCAGCTTTTTTCATACCCGAAAGTCTTTACTGGCTTTCATCGCTTTCCTACTTTTTGCTTTTATTATTTCTCTTTCTCTGATTTTCTACTACTCTAAGAAAAGTAGAAGAAGTTATAAATAGTCCCGAACATTTTCCTGTTCATTTATTTTGAAATAATTATGTACACACATCAGCTGTAAACCATTTGCACTTCTGTGTTGTAAAACTATAGATTTCATTTATCCGACTTCTAGAAAAAATTTTTGTGGCATATGACAGACATTTGGAAATGAGCGTAGATGATTGTAAAATATTGAATAATGTGAATAGTGCCTGGATTTGTTCTTTTTTGGAGGGTGATCAGAGACTGTCAGGGGCCTTCATTTCTGCAACACATTCTGTAATAAATGTATGGGAACCATTCCATAATTTTTTTTGACAGAAATTGAATGGCCTTATCAGTGCCCATTCCTAAGTGTAGTGTTTATTTTGAATAATTGCAAATGTTGGAATAAAAAGTTAAATCCCAAGTAACCATACCCAAGTAACCAACTGCCATGATGTGCTTAATGGTCTCTGTTGAACCAAGTTTCCCTTGAAAAAGAAATGGCAGCATATAGGAGAGATGACAAAGAGCCCTAGGCTGCTACATTCCTTTTAAAAGCAGTGTTTCTAGCAAATGCTGGTAATATTAGTTTACATATCTGGTTAATGATATATTTGGCAGAGCAAATGATAGAACTTTATTTTATGTGACTTTTGGGGCTCTCTCCAGGCCCTGGGGTCCCTGAGGGCTTTGCGTTACTGGAGCCTTGTCAAGTGTCTGCACATAGGACTTTGAATGTTTGCAGAAAAATAAACATGAATCATGAGATGTTGGGCTCTTCAGGAAGCATAAACCAATCGTGAAATGCATTATACTGTGTGGCTCTAGGAGGAGGAAGGAGAAAAAAGTACTTATTATGAGCAACATGATGATTAATTTGATTATAAACCCTTTGATTTTAGAGCGCTCCTTGCAATGAATGATGTGACCTTTCCTGAGCGAATAAGAATGAAATAATAACTCATCCTGTGAAGAGTGACTTCACCTGCTGTTCTTTAGAATGTGCCATGATTTCTCTGAATTGAATTTTTAAAAAAATTCTTAATAGGCTCCAAAGCATTTGGTCTGATAACACTGGAAGATTTGTTTCTGTGATTGCTGAGGTTTATTTTATAGTTTTGCTGCAACTTCTGTGGAACTAGCTTTGAGCTGGTTTTGCTTCGAACTTTCACACTGAAACATCTACTGATTTCTAGAAAGGGCTTGTGAGGTCTTACCCTTTAATGCCCCTCAAACAAGTTTTGCTGATTTTCAGACAAGGGTCTTTCTGTTGCACTGGCATTGTGGATGATCCTAATGTTTGTTTTATAGATAAGTCAATATCATATCAGGCAAGGTAAACCACTATCATATCAAGCATAACTGATCTTGCTGACACAGGGTTATAGTGTATAATAAAATGCTGAACTGTATTATGTATCATCTTCAGGGGTGGTATGATTTTTTTCCATGAAAGATAAGCTTTTGTGGGTATTCTTTTAAAAATTGGACTTATTTTTAAAAATAGAAACTAGAGAATAATAGTTCTTCTATGTATATATTTTTTTCTGATTCTAAGAGTAATATATGTTCATTGTAAAAAATTTAAAAGCATAGAAACTATACGTAAAGAGAAAAAATGACCTGTAATCTCACCACCAAAGTGGCCACTATTAACATAGCCTATGTGTTTTATTTTACATGGAGTCAGATTATATTGTAAATAATTATGTCTTTATTAATTTTTATTATGTGTGTTTCTTTTGTCATTAGTCTTCAAAAGCATGATTTCTAATAGTTGTAGAGTGATTCTACTATATGAGTTTATCACAACTTATTTAACCATTCCTATTGGTTGGACTAGTTTCCTATTGTTAATTACTGTTAAATAGAGTTTAAAAATTTTCTTGTTACAATATTAATTTTCATTTCCTTGAATGTAGACAGAAGTAATTCTGTCCCTTGATGAAGTATTGTAATAAATCGGCCTGCAACTTTGCTTTTTTCATAATCATATAACTGGCTGCTAGATACGTTTCTTTAAAAATTTTTTTTGAGTTGACTTAGCTACATAGAATATGAGTGGTGAAGAAATGGGTCTGACAGCGAGGCTGGAAGATGGGAGGGGATGGAGGATGCCCCAGGCTCATCCCGGTGGTTGAGCTGAGACTTTTAGATACTGAGAAAGCAAAACAGAGGAAAAGCTGAAAGAGACAATACAGACGCCAAAGCCTAGAACAGAAATGATATCTCAAAACCATCCAACTCAGTTATAGTGAGAGCAACATGCTAATGTTGAGCCCCCCTCGACCTTAGGAGGAGGTAGGTGGCTCCCGTCCGCAAAGGAGGGAGGGCATCCCTTGGGTCTGAACAGATCTTAGGAGGGCGGTGGGACCGGGTGGAAGAGGGAGGCGGGGCCAGGAGCGGGGCCAGGAGGTGGGACTTCCTGTCAAAGCACCGCCCCCCTTTCACGTCAGTCCTTAGAGTATTTCACTCACGTATCCTGGGTATTTCACCACTTTACATATTTTTTTTGAAATATAGGGACCGTTCCCCTGGAACTCTGCAGGGCATTAGGTGGTAAACTGATTAATTTGATTATAAACCCTTTGAGTGTCCTGTGGTGTCCGAGTCCCCTTGGCAAATTTCTGCCACACTTGTATTTGCCCTGCTTTCACAGCCCCTGCCTTGGACCCAGGTGTATCCCTTGTGCTTATGCCTCGTTCTTTTTGCCTGGGTTTTCAAGGATGGTTTTTCAGATTCATTAAGGACATTTTTCATTTTATTTTTGGTCTTCCACAGACAGTAATTAGAATCTGTTAATGCCTTGGAAGCTTTTCCTTTATACTATTTATAACAATGCTGTCCAACAGAAAGGGTTCAAGCTGCATATTTTAAAAATTTTTTTGTAGTCCCATTAAAAAAATTAAAAAGTGCAGAAGAAATAAAGCTTAATGCTATATATTATTTTTCCAACATAATCAAAATATCATAACTTCAATGTGTAATCAATATAAAAATGATTGAGATTTTTACATACTTTTTTTTAATACTAAGTCTTAGAAGTCTGGTGTGTGTTTTACATGTATGCACATCTTGTGCTCAGTTTGGATTAGCCAGACTGTCAGTGCTCAATAGCCACATGTGACTTAATGGCTACTCCATTGGACAGTGCAGGTCTATAAAGAAAGCCTAGCTCTGCTAAGTCAATTAATAGCATAATAAGATACCCAAAATATTTAATAAGTTAGAGGAATAAACTTTTTTTATAACAATCTTCCAAGCTCTATAGCCCATGGAAATAATTGACAAGTAAATTTACAATCAAGCTGAACTATTGATTAAAACAAATATTTAAAACATCTATGTAGGAAAACAAAAATAAATTCAAAATGGGTGAATATCCTAGAGAAGAACATAGGCAGCAACCTCTTGGACCTTGGCTGTAGCAACTTCTTGCTAGACATGTCTCCAGAGGCAAGGGAAACAAAAGCAAAAATGAACTATTGGGACTTCATCAGGGTAAAAAGCTTTTGCACAGCAAAGGAAACAACAAAATTAAAAAGCAGCCTATGGAATGGGAGAAGATATTTGCAAATGACATCAGATAAAGGGCTAGTATCCAAAATCTATAAAGAACTTCTCAAACTCAACACCCAAAAAATGCAGTCAAGAAATGGGCAGAAGACATGAAAAGACATTTCTCCAAAGAAGACATACAGATGGCTAACAGACACATGGAAAATTTCTCAACATCACTCATCATCAGGGAAACACAAATCAAAACCACTATGAGATACTACATCACACTGGTCAGAATGGCTAAAATTAACAACTCAGGAAACAACAGATGTTGGCGAAGGTGAGGAGAAAGGGGAACCCTCTTATACTGTTGGTGGGAATGCAAGCTGGCGCAGCCACTCTGGAAAACAGTATGGAGGTTCCTCAAGAAGTTTAAAATAGAACTACACTATGACCCAGCAATTGCACTACTAGGTGTTTATCCAAAGGACACAAAAGTAATGATTCGAAGGGGCACCCACACCCCAGGGTTTATAGCAGCAATGTCCACAATTGCCAAAATATGGAAAGAGCCCAGATGTCCATCGACAGATGAATGGATAAAGAAAAGGTGGTGTGTATATATATACAATGGAATACTACTCAGCCATCAGAAAGAATGAAATCTTGCCATTTGCAATGACATGGGTGGAACTAGAGTGTATTATGCTAAAGTGAAATAAATCAGCCAGATGATTTCACACATATGTGGAATTGAAGAAAGAAAACAAAGAACGTAGGAAAAGGGAAGGAAAAATCAAATAAGATAAAAACAGAGAAAGAGGCAAACCATAAGAGACTCTTAACTCTAGAAAACAAACTGAGGATTGCTGGAGGGGAGGCGGGTGAGGGGATGGGGTAACTGGGTGATGGGCATTAAGGAGGGCACTTGAAGTAATGAGCACTGGGTGTTATATGCAACTGATGAATCACAAACTCTACCCCAAAACTAATAATAAACTGTATGTTAACTAACGAATTTAAATGAAAAAAATAAATCTATGTGGAAGGAAGAATTCTGTAACTAGTTTTGAATATTGTAGTAATTCAAGTGGTGGAATTAAACTGCTTTTGTTTTTACATAATCTATTCCATTTTTTTCTCTCATATTGCCTTTTTCTGAATGAATGGAGCAGTTATATTGTCCTATAGCATCTCCATTTAATATTTAATATTGAACAATGCTGCTCAAAATTTCTATCTGGGAAGGAGAATGTTAGATGACATGGACCAACCTTGACAGAGAGCCTTGGTTCTAGAAGGAAAGCAGAGACCATGTCTTTGTGTTTTGTTTCGATTTTCAGTATTTAGCCCCATGTCTTATACAAAATATTCTTCAATAAATGTTGACTAGTTGAATAAATTATGGATGAAAGATGGAATACATGAGTTAACAGAATTAACTCCCCGACATCACCTTTGTCCAGAGATTCATTTAATAAAGACCAACTGTCAAGAATCAGAAACTGCTGTGGGTTAGATGCTACAATGGCTCAATTCTGTGTATTCAGAGGAAGGAATGCGAGCTTCCATGTGATCACCTTTGATAACCTGTCTTTCTGGGTAACAAGGAAATAACACTTCTGTCCTAAATCATCACCCCTAGACCAATCACACAGTGAGAGGACTGTAACTTTTTTCTTCCTTATTCACACTGTCCCTCAACCAGTCAGTATTCTTACTATTTGCAAGAATTGTTATATATTGGGTTAAGTTCTTTATCTGCAAATAAAAACCAGGGAACTCATCTTCTAGAAGGAATTCCCTTATGTCAACTTGAAATGCTTACAGTTTCCAAGAACACGTAGCTTTTTTTCTCAGATCTATTATGCTTTTTCATTTTTATAACCATTAAATATTGTTAGAGTTTTGTTTGTTCCAGTA